TGCAGCACTAGTGCATGACAATACAGCTATGCCATATGGTAGTAGTCAAAGGGGACCAAAAGTTTTCAAGAACAGAGGCAGTGAGAGAGTACTGCCTTGGCAAAAAGCAAATTTTCAATCAAAGCAACCTACATAAAGAGCTGACTGATCAGTCAGAGGCAATGCAAGTCAAGACAGGTTTAAAAAATAACTCTGGGATTAATGTAGTATTCTATATGCTCTGAAAAGTTATTCTTGGGATTGCTTGACTGCTTTGTGATAATTTCCAAGTTTGTTTTGCAAGCAAAATATTTATGGCAAAAAACATACAAGCACTTTCTACATAGGCAGTGATTGAGGTTATTTGTTAAATGCTATTCAATGTGTGCATTTTCTTTGCTTTGAAAACTTCAGAGAAAATGCTTGAGGAACAGTGGGTAGTGGGAAATGAATGCTATGACACAGTCCCACTTGCTGAGAGCAATGCAGAAATTGGTAAGAACCAAGATGACCTTCAACATAGAATCATAGAATAGTTAAGGCTGGAAAGGACCTTAAGATCATCTAGTTCCAACCCACATGGTTCATACCTGATGAGAACTAAGATGCTGTGAAATGTTATCAGTTGACAGGAATATTCTGAAACTTCTAGCAGCAATTCAAAAATCTTTTCATGGTGGTTTTTTTCAGGCAGATATAACTTGATCAGACCTTAAATAACTTTCCCAAGGCATCTGTATGATGCCAGCTGATCACAGATTTTATTTTATATTTTTTTTTCAAAATGTGTAGATTTACAGTTACTGAAGTATTGCAGAGAAAATTTAGGTATTTTAAGCAAATCTTGTTTTGCTGTGGGAAGGTGCGTGGGTTCCTAGCAGTTTCTTTAATTTAGCAAAACTGATAAGCATTTAACTAAATTGAAAATTGCTTGAGCACCAATTCCAATTGTAATCCTTACCTTAGAAATTCTTTATTCGTGTTTTATGTATATATCTAGGAGGTGTTCAGTTCTGTGTAAAATTGTCACATATGTTATGTAGCAATGTTAACAAATGAAGTGAAAAATGTATTAACATTGATTCTTAAAGTTTTCATCCTACAATTATGACTTTAGCTACAGTGTGCATTTAGTTATTACTACAAGTGCATGATATTTTTCACATTATGAAGCCAATTCTATGAAGTCTCTGGGAAACATCAGATGTTGTATGACCAACCTTGTCATGTCATTAGGTTCTTAAATTTTGTTCCTTCAGTCACAGTTGTCATATGATTCTTAAGTTATAGAAACTTGACATGCTTAACATTTGTGCAGCTTGGTAAAGGATGTCATCAAGTTTTTGATGCAAGAATAGATTTGGTGGGAGAGAATTGCTAGTGAACTATTTAAGGAGTAAATGAGGAAGAATCTTAATTTTAAAAAGGCTTTTCCTTCTTAGCTAGAACTTTTCCTTTGAGTTTCTTGACACCTATTTGCTAATCAACACAGGAGATGACTGCCTATTATTCATTGAATATTTAATAGGTATCATCTTTTATGTTTGCTGTATGCAGGATTATTTTTCATTGTTTTATCCCTCTTACCATTGTTTAATATTTCACGGTCTGTTTCTTTCTTTTAGGGTAAATATATTAAAAATTTCCTTTAAAAGGAAAAAGTTTTTTATACAACAACGGCAAAAACATGTAAGTAGTCCATTTTCTTTTGCTCAAGTGGTCATGTTAATTTTTTTTCCCCTTCAATGTGAAGACAATAAAATGCTGATCAGAAAGCTTTGTTGTGGTAACCTTCCTTTGAGATTCTGTTTTGTTACCTTGTCCTTGCTATTCTGGTGCTTTTATTGTCGCTCTGTTTCCCTTTTTGTGTGTCCTTTCCAATACTGAATCCTTCCACGTTCAGTCTGTTGGGCTGTATCTTTCCCATGCAGGTTTCTTCTCCCTTGAGGACTTGGGGGAAATGTAGATCTTCATCCTTTCTCCAGCATTTAGTAACCTGGCATGCTTCCCTTTTCTTATCAGTATTTGCTGCGCTTTTCTTTGATGCTTTCCCTGCCCTGTAGAGTTCCTTACTGCAGTGAATCTACTAAACAGCTTAGGAGGACTTTGTGAGGTCCCTTCTGACTTTGAGAAATGGAGAGCTCTGCAGCCGAAAGACATAAGGTTAGAAATGGGGATAGTGCTCCTCCTTCTGTATGTAACATGGAGGGCTTTAGAAGTTGGCAAAATACATGAAGATAATGCAGAACAGGTGTAATATTAGTCTATTTAATGGGGGGGGGGGGGGGGGGGGGGGATCTTGATTACAGTTCTGTGATGCCACAATATGAACAGACATATTTAGGTAGCTTTTTACAAAGAGAAAAGAATGTTTAATGCTCTGATCACGCAGAAATTAGTGACCAGCAGATATACAAATATTTTCATTCAATTGAGGGTAGAACTTGAATAAATAGTAAAAGGTAAATGTTAAAAGAAACATAAACTTTATGAAGGCTTTTTCTAGTAGTAAATGAGCTCTTTAAACTGACGAGAGTTGTGTTTCAAGGAGACTTCTTGACCCACATTGATCAGAAGGTTTGCTGAACACAGATTGCTATAGAGGCTTTTTTCCAATCCAAAAGGAGAATGTTTTTATCCCCACTCGCCCCTGCCCAAGTTTTGTGGGAATCGTCCAGATTTGAGGAGTGTACATGTATGCACTCATGCTTACTTTTCAGGGCTCATGTGTGAATAAAGTTAGTATCTAGAGATACTGTTACTGTACGAATGCTTACACACACAGTGTGCACAAATGACACTGTTTTCTCTTTTGAGAGAGTCTGTCCTAACCCACCCTAGAGGGGTCTTAAGTTTTTTGGAAGCTGTATGCTTTTAAATATACTGTTTATAGGCCAACTTATCTCAGTCTGTTCATATGAATTTCACTGTATGAAGAAGCGAGTGGTTGGCAAACCATTCTATTAGCTTGTGAGTGTACTTGTATTTGAATTACACGCAGTGTAATTATATTACACTTGTGAGTATTACCCTCTAGATTTGAGGATTAAAAATTCACTGATAATTAGTCATTTTAAATTCTAAATATCTTCAAGTATACAAATATGGGCAAGCTTATGGACTGTAATTTCCAAATGTGTCTGTGAGAATAAATGTAGGAACAGAACTCTCTCTGAGAGGATTAGTAACAACGAATAGTAAAATGAATGTATTTAAAGGTTTTGGTGGTTTTTTGGAATATGGAAGAATTCAGTGGCAATATATAACAGTCTCTGGACTTAAAATCATATAAAATGTGTGTTCATTGCATAAAAATTTGACTGCTGTCAAAGATGGAATTTCTCTTTCTGGAGACCTTTGAAGAGGACAGCATTCTTAAAGTTTGCTCAATTAAGTGTTTGATAAATGATGACAGTTCAAAGCCGTCAAGTTGTTTTAACTAATCCCCTTTTAAGTGATCGTAGCTCTTTATTTCATAACCCACTGAGATTACAGTAATGCACACTGTATCATGCTTAAAGATCTACAGAACTGTAGGAAAAATAGGGCCAGCAACATGACCTTTTTACTCTTTCTCAGTAGATAAGAAAAAGCCGACCAGGTGTGCTGTTAAATCTTTAGATATATCCATCCTTGACAATTAGCCTCCTTTGCTTGAAATTTAGGGCAGCAAGCCTGCAGTACTTCAGTGGTATTGCTGGGAAAAGCTTACTGTTGCAGTGCAGTAGGAGTGAGGGGGCAGCTGGATTACTGAAAGTTTTCTCCAGTATGGTGGGTCACTTGGGATTTGTGAGAGCAGATGACTGAGGTGGTGTCAGTCTTTGGGTTGATCATATTTTTATGTGGAAGTACAGGAAGAAATAGGTAAATAAAGGTGAAAATAAGGAAGATGGAAGAATGTGGGGAAAGCAGTGCAGATACTGCATATGGTGAAAACGCTCTAGCATTTCAGTTTTGTATGTCATGTAGATTTCATTACAGAATCTACAGAAAGTTCTCAGAGGCTATGAATCTGCAGTCATCTGAGATGTGCCATGTTTATTCTCATTATTTCTCTCACTGCTTTTTTCTTAGGGCCCTGTTCCGAAGAGCCAACTTACCTTCTCTCACTTTCTTCCTGCTACACACCTTCTCTTTTGCCCTCTCACTGCTTCAGTCTGTTGATCAGCTACTTGATAGGAGTACACAATATTTCTGTATCTACTGAAGAGCTATGTAAGGACTGGGGAGCAGGACTGATGAATCAGTGAATGTCTGATGCTATAAAAGCTCATGATATGTGGACTTAATGAAGGGTGCAAGATTTAAAGTAGGAATAGGAACTATGCTGGTTTACAGGCAACATTTTAAAGCTTCCAGAAATGAAACTTTATTTCAAATGTGCTTATCTAATGCTTAAAACCAACTTCATTTTCTGCATATTAAAATATATTTTTACTTGCTATGCTGTAGATATATTCAAATTCTCTGTGAATGGAATAGGCATACATCTTCCCTGATGCTGAAATAGCAAGACACTCACTTTAGCTATTGAGATTTGTTCCTTTTACCTTAGTGGCCACAAATTTCTCTAATCTTCATTTCTTAATAAGTATTAAAATTCTTCTGGAACTTGTAGGATGGGCAATTAGATCCTTGGATCCTGCTAGAACTGTCTTCACGTTTAAAACTGTGCATAGATGTAATAGCACAACTTGCAAGGTGATCTGTTATTGATGGTTATGTTAACAAAATGTTTTGTTAATATAAAAATTGACTACATCTTCTTAAAACTCCTGAAAGTATTTTTCCTAATTTAAGTCCGTATTTAAACTTTTAGCCCATTTAGAAGCTGCTAAGAAAGTTCTGTGACAACAGCTGGGAAGAACGCACTTACGATGTAGAGAGCAAGATTAATTAGTATTTTCAAACCTAAATTTAAACCCAAGATATTAGGTGTACTTAATTCCTATGGCTTTACATTATGGTTTTTCAGTACAATTGATGTGTTTGGATAAACTTATTTTTGTGGCAATTGAAAGGCCAGTGCTCCAGGCCAACAAAAATACCTATACAATTCCTTTTATTTGTCTTCTGAAGTAGTAAAACACTTAAAGTAGTATTTAACCAGCAGAGAATGTGTCAGAAATGCCACTTGTCATTAAATCTTTAAGTGATATATCCTTCTTGTACTGCAACAACACAAGTTGGCACAACTTGTTTAAATTTCGTTATGCTTGCACATTTTATTTTATATGAACTAATTAGAAGCAACTGTGGCAACCTTACAAAGATATGAATTGATTCCAGTATGCGGGAGGCTCAAATAAAAATCCTCACTTATTAAAAAAAACAGGGAAAACATTCCTGAAAGTTTGCATCAGGTAAATGTTTTGCAGTGCCTATGTACAATCAAGAGGCAAATCCTTTTAATCTTAAGATTCTCACTGGTTCTCTAAAATAGTAACTTCAGTCATAGATTCTCTGAACTAGTCTTAAAGTGACTTGCAGAATGTGGCATTGTTTTCTGATACAGGGCATTTATAAAATATTGCCTAGAAATAAAAAGAATACAGGAAAACCAGATTGAGTATTCCAGCAAAAATGGTCTGTAGTTACTTCCCAGCAGTATTGTTGCTGTGAAAACAACCAAAAGGACAAGAGCAACTGGAAATCAAGATGTTACCCAGATGGGGCCTCTGTTTCTTGCTGGACTGGATGAGAAGGCTTTATTAGATCTTTGAGTCCTTTAATAAAAAGTCTTTGTAGCCTAATTCCTGACTTTCTCCAAAGCATGAGCTAGAAAGAGCTTTACTGTGTTGGTTGCCTGCCTAATTATATGCCAAGGTGTCAAAATTCAGTCATAATTCAGAACAGCTGGAAAAAGATGAGCAATGAAATTGAAAACATGCACTTTTTTCCTTTTTTTTTTTTTTTTTTTTTTTTTTCCACCAAAGTGCTGAGCTGTTTCAGCAATTAATTCAGGTCTCATGTTATCTTCCTCTTTGCTTTACTCATGTTATCTCCTCTTTGCTTTAGTCTTCATTCCACTTTCTTTGCATCAATAACTATATTAACTAACCAAAGCTTATCTTGTGCAAAACTCTCTTGGCATCTGAAATAGCTCCACAAGTGCTATGGTAGGTGAGGGCATGAACATGGGTGAAGTATGATACAACAATGTTTCACTGGCAGTTTGGCACTGAAGTTACAAATAAGAATTTGCACCAAGACACACAACCTTTGTATTCTGCTTTCTTTCAATCTCCTCATTGTAGCTTCATGTTATCATCCAGAAAATAGGATTTGATTTGAACAGCAGAAGCAGCTCTGGTCCCATCATAGCTGCTTTCTCTCCCCCAAGATGAATTACTGTTAACACCTCTAGTATCTTCCAGAAGACTATCAAGCAGGTGTTCTTTGCATACTGTGGCTCTTGAAAGAATATTGCTGAAGTCTTATGTGAAGAGTTTGAAGTCAAAGATTGAGATTTTTTTTCCTTTCTACACTGCACCCTTAATTGAATGTTTAAAAGAGGGAGTTTTTGTCATAGGGGGCCACAATATGACTGGAAATCTGAAACTCTATTTAGGTGCTTAATATTACACTTGTATATACAAAATCTTTACCGTTCTAGACTTAAATATTTCCATAACATTGTAAGGATTAGAAATTGAAAAACTAAATAGTTTTTCAATATTGCTTAAATTTATTTAAATTCATATAATCACAGGGCTATTTTGATTATCTTCAGCTCAAAATCTACTATATGCAAAATTTTTGTTTTTCTAAGTATGTTTTTCCCATTTAAGCTAAAAGTAATTTTATTGCTATTTTATGATCTCATTCTACTGTGCTTGATCTGCTTGTATACATTAAACATGGCATTTCTTACTCTTACAGAATGAATCCAGAGAGCATATTGTTGCCTTCAACATGTTAAATTACAGAGCATGCAAAAATCTATGGAAATCTTGTGTAGAGTATCACACGTTTTTTCAGGCAAAGAAGACGCTACCTCATGAAAGAAAGATACTGTCACATTATTGGACCCTGGGTTCTAGAAATCCAGCAAAGTAAGTATTGTGTGAAAGCATATATTGCTTTGTAATGTGAAAAAGAGGACTTTTATCAGTGATAGCTCAAGTTGGAGTGACAGATTTCGGTTCTGCCTGTAGCTGGGTCCCAGTCTGTATGCGAACTATGTCTTCTTTTCATCCACATTCTGTCAGCATTGAAGGAGGTTACGTTCAGGTTTCACCACCTTAAGTATCACAATATTTTTATCAGGAATTTGTAGCTCTCTTGTACTACATTCTTTTACACTCATGTGAGGCGCATAACCTAGCTTTTATTGTGTCGAACAGTTGAACTCTTGGACATGTTAGTACAATTTCATATTTGCACATCTCTGTACCCTTCTAGGTTCTATTAGCTTAAGGTAGTAGTGGCATTCTATTTAAATTAGGCTGCTGAGTTGCATAAATTGCCTGTAAGCCTTATTTTAAGGGCAGACTGAATTGTACGTCTGAGATTCTGAAATGTAAGTTCATTCAGCATTTCTGGACTGAACGCTGAATAACCTCTTCTATATGCATTCTCATTCCTTGCTGAAAAGATAAAAAATGTACCTATTTTTTTTCTACAAAGGATAATCTTGATAATAGGTGGGGACAAAGAACTGTCACCTCAAGATACTACAGCCCATTCCATAAAGGCAGTTTTTCAGTATGTTTGCTGTGAAATATGCCTGTATTTTACCTCTGAAGAGCAGCTACTTGGAGTTCAGGAGATTGTTTATGTTCTGTACCTTAACTGAAATATCTAAAGAATATATTGTTAAAGTGATTCTATGGACAAAGTTAGGGGTTTGGGTTAGGGGTTGGAACTCTAGTTTCCATCACACAAATTACATTGCACTTTAAAAGTCACCTGCGTTGAAAAGGCATGTAAAAAAGACAAGCTTATTAATGCAAAATATGTGGAATTCTTCAAGATGCATTTTTTTAATAAATCTGCCTTTTCTACTCTCCCTTTCTGCTCCACCCATAAAAGGCGTCTTTAAAAGAGCTCTGTTTTTGTAGAAGACCAGAGTAGTTTGGTGGCTTATCACTGGCATACAGAAGACTTACAGAAATAAAATAGGTAATACAGGCAAAAGCTTCTCCTGAGTTCATGGACTGTGTGTTAACTAAGCTTGAAAACACACATGGGTAACTGATTTTGATATGTCGACACTTCATATTAAGTCTTCCCTCTTAATTTTTTAAACTGGGAGAAGCTTTAAAAAAAAAGCTTTAAAAAGAAGATGGAGTTAATTTGCTTTAAAAACATGAACAAGATATGTAAAATACTTCAAAATTTTATCTTTTACTTGTATACATGAAAAGCAGCACAACGCAAGGCATACTTAAGGTTTGACATTTGCATAAATGGTATTCACAGCATAAACTTTTTTTTTTAATGCTATGTAATCTTGAGACATTTCAACTCCATAGTGAAGTCCTCGCATACTGTGCTATCCCTGCTGCCCATTATATACAGCACAGGACTTAGTAAGCCAAAGGTGAACTTGAGGATGGGGAGCTTATTTCTCTTCTTGTCCAGTGGAAGGCTGTGTAAAAAGATGTGTAAAAGTTAGTTTATATCAATTTCGATATAGTTTAACATTTTTTTTTATGCTGTATAATTCCACTAGTAAGATACTTGTATTGCTTTCCTAGGTGAGGCTCTGGTTCTGATGCAACCCTTACCTTGTCAGGCTTTTGTCACAAGAAGTAGTCCAGACTTGGAGATCTCCTTTTCATGTCATATCTTTCTCTAATGTTTTATTGCTGTGAGGAACACATCACTCAAATTTGGCTTCCTTCTGGAAACAGTGTGGTCTGGTGTAGCTCTTACTTGGTGATACAGCAGGTAGACAGTTAAAGTAGTCCTGTGTTCAGTGAATTAGTAAATTGTTACCCCGTTATGAGTTATAACAGTAACATATAGAATCTTTTGCCTGTACTTGAACCGTGTTTTCTTAAGCACTCAGTTCAGTGCCAATAGGACATACCGTATTTCCTGTTTTCCCCTCCATCTTCTTAAGTACAATTGGCTTAAAAATAACTGTCAGAAAAAGTTATTTTTACACAGGCTCGTGATTAGTATTGTAGCAGGGATCAACAAATAGTTTTATTGCCACAAGTGAAGGTCAGCAAATGGCTCTGTGAGAATGCAAACACATAAATGAGGAGGGGTAAGCACAGGGGACTCTTTAAAACACGTTAATTATAAAATTGACTTTCATAAGCACATTTTATTTAATTTAATTTTTCTATGCAAAATAATTAATGCACAGTTTTTTATTTCTTTTCAGGTCTGTAAACAGCCAGTACTGCAGAAAAGTGATAGGTGGGATGGTTTGGAACCCATCTATGAGACGATCTTTATCTGTTGAGCATCTGGAGACCAAAAGCCTTCCTTCTCGATCACCTCCTGTTACCCCTAATTGGTAAATCCAGTTTCAGTTTTTCCCACACTTTCCAGCCTCCTACCTTTTCTTATTGTATGTACTCCAGCAGAATAATTATGTTGTGTGTACATATATATTCAAACATTGTTATTCTGAGAATACATATGATGACAGGAGAAGAGTGGGTGTCTCTTATCTCAACTTTAGCAAGGCTTTTCATAATATCTGCCAAAATATTATAACCAAGTTAAGACCCTGTGTTCTACAAGGGTGGACAACAAGATGGTTTAAAAAAAAATCTAAAAAACAAAGTATGACTGGACTTGGAGGGGAGTTGTTTTAATAGGTCATACTCTACCTGGAGGCCAATAACAAGTGGAATACTGCAGGGGTCTTTCCTGGGACCTGTCCTGCGTAAAATCTCTGTGACCTGGAGGAGGAAATGGAGTGCTTGCTCATCAAGTTTGCAGACACCAACCTGGAGGGAAGAGTCAATATGCCTGGGGGCAGGGCTGCTATCCAAAGGGACCTTGGTAGTCTGGAGAAATGGTCCAGTAGGAACTGCATGAAATTCAGTGAAGGCAAAAGCAAAGTCCTGGGAAGGAAGAACCCAGTGCAACAGTATTGTCTGCAATGCAACTCTCTGGAAAAGGACCTGGTAACCTTCCAGCTGTGCAAGAGCTATCATCTTGTGTGCCCACAGCAACCTGGTGGTATTAACAGAAGCATAGATGGTAGATTAAGGGAAGAAGTTATCCCCCTTTTGCTCAGCATTCATTAGACCTTATTAGAATGCTGCAGCCACTTTTATGTCCACTAGTACAAGAAAGACACTGACAAACTGGAGCAAACTCACCAAAGGCCACCAGCCACCAAGGTAGCCAGGAGGCTGGAGCACTTACCCTATGAGAAGAGGCTGAGATAACTGCAACTCAGAGAAGCACAGGTTTTCCAGATAACAGCCTGGCAACACTTAGGAGGAGGCTAGCTGGAGGATGAGGCTAGGTTGTTCAGTGTTGCATGGTGGGAGGATGAGGCAACAGGTATGTGTTGAAATGAGAGACTCTGGACATAACGCAAAGCTACTTCACCACAAGAGAAGTTGAGTGGCGGTTGCTCAGGGAAGCTGTGTGGTCTCCATCCTTCCAAGTTTGAAATCTGACTGGATAAAGCCTTAAGCAGCCTGCTCTGACCTCAGTTGATCCTGCTTTGAGCACAAAGTTGGACTAGAAGACCTCCATAGGTCCCTTTGAACCTGAATTATCCTACAATTAGAACTAACACTACAAGTAGCATTTTTGGGAGGGCGAAACTAATCAGTTCAGTGTACTGAACCTAGCAGTGTATGATTGTCTAGTGTACAATAATTCATGTTTAAAAATTGATTATTTAAAGCGAGACCTATAGGTCTGTCATGAAGATTTCAGGACGTAGATTTCAATAGGATAGAAATTTAACTTTGATGAAGTTTTTGGAATTACTCTGATCTTCCAACTTGTGTTTGTGTTCCTTATTTTTAAGGCGGAGTCCTAGACTACGTCATGAAATTCGTAAAGCACGACACTCATCTGTAGATAACCTTACAAACGAGATTAGTTATATTACTGAAACAGAGGATGTTTTTTATACGTATAAGGGCTCTCCAACATCAAAGGACAGTGATTCGGAGTTCTCTCAAAACCGTAGTCCACAGAGGAGGTAAGAACACCTGCAAATAATTCATTGCCTATTTTTACATCTTATAAAAACACCAAACAAACCCCCAAACGGCTTTAGTATAAACCAGCCACCATTGGTTATAGTATTAAAATGAGTTCAAACTATTTTGTGTTTGCATAAACTTTATTCTGACAAATTGCTAAACTGCAAATGCCGTGATACAAAATTACAAGTTAAAAACAAACCAATTTTTCATCCCTAAACAATTCTCAGTAGTTGAGTTCTCAGTAAAATTAGAGAAGCTGAGGCATGCCTGTGCATATCTGTAATATTCTGTTTTCTAGTAGCTTCTGCAACTCTTCCCGAACTGTTACAACCTCTTACTTTTTTGGGGGGGAAGGGGGAAAGACTTTCCAAACTCTTAAAGAGTTCGCTCAGGTTGCACATCATCAGGTCAGCATTGTCACTTGGAAGAGGTACTGCATTGGAGTAAAGACAAGAACCATAATAATGCTAGCAGTCACCCATCTTTTTCTCTCTTGGAGGAACTGTAGATTGCTAGTCTAATGGCAGTGTCTGCTTTTTGCCTTGAAGCATTTTTGCTGTATTCCTCAAGGACCAAGTTTGTTCTCCCCTGCAGCACTCTGACCACTGCTAGGTTTGCTTCTAGGGCTTGAAGCACCGATCTGTGCACTGATTAGTTGTTTGCTCATATATAACATCTCACGCTTATTTTACAGAGGTGTTTCTTAATGAGCAAGTTCAGATTAACACAATATTAATACAGAAATAATGTAGAAAGTCATTGATTTTTCAGTCTCAAAAAACCCAAACCAAAACAAACCAGTCACTTTAAAACTTCCAGTTGGGAGAATATTATGTGTTAAAATGTGGGTTTATGTATAATATTACAAAAGGAATATGGTCTTTGGTGATCCTTAGTAACTTTAAGGCAAGATGTATTTTAAGAAGTGATTTATTAATGGAAGCTGATAGGACTCGCCTATCTCTGATAGTGTGCAGCTACAAACTGTAGCTTTAAACACTGCATTTAAACTTCAAATTTTAATGCAAGAATATTGTTCTACATTACAGCAGAGAGGTTTCTAGAAAAGAAGGGAAAAATGATCACATTGTATGCATATTTGTAGTTTGTCACTGTAGTGTTTTAAATTATTTCTCTATTTTTCTGGCTGGAAGTCAGATGAGCCGTAGTACTACTAGTGTCAGTAATATGTTGTTGGCTTTCTTCATTTATTTTCCTTTTTCTTTTCTTCTGCTGTATTTTTTCACTTTCTTTCCTACTTCACCTGTCTTATGCCCACTGAGAATGGAGTGGGAAAGCCTGCTTCTATTCTGTTTTTCTCATACAGTGAAAATAGGATGTTCCGAGTTTGAAAATAGCACACATTTATTTTCTGAGCTTTACATGACTATGCTGTATCTGAGTAATATCACTCACTTTGGAAAGATGACTGTTATTACCTCATATAAATCAAATTTTCTACATGTCTTATCCCAAACACATTATTGGTTTCTTGGGTCTGTTTATAATATTTGATACCCTGCAGGTAACTGGAAAAATGCTTGTGTTTTGGAAGGAGAATGTAGCACATGGAATGAATGTTCCTTTGTTGTATTGACTGTTAGACTTTTGTGAAGTAAAATGGTCATTAATACTTTATTTTCAACAATTGAGTTAAAATATACAGTAGCCATACAAATAAATAAATGTTTTCAACAGTTCATGCTACTCCACATCCCAGATTTTCTCCTTTTATATTCTTACAGTAGTTATTAGTTGCCTCACTCCTCTTGTTCAAAGACATGAAGTAAAATTAAGCATACCTGTGTAGTGAAGTCTGTCTTTCCCTGAATATTTTATTGGAAAGAGAATCTTACCCTGTCAGCTAAATCTGGTTTATAAGAAAAAAAATTTAACTTGCCTGTCTTCAGTATTAAATATGGACACTTGTCCTTTTGCCACACTTCAGGAATATTTAGATGTTAACTACAGAACACCTCACAGTGTACTGGTAAGTCTTTTAAAGCCCACTTGCTCATTTTTGCCATGCTAGTCTTTAGTAGATTTGAATTGACATAACTGAAACTTGTTATGGAAAAAAACAGATTTGCAATTTCAGTATTTCTTTTTTACTTAGAGGTGAGCCTAAAGGTAGCTTGTTATAGTCCTGCAAATATATATTGTCCTTAGAGGGCTGTGGCTCTTTTCTACTACTAGCCTGCAGTCTGAGGCTATGAAAAATGTGTAATTAATGCTGTTTATAACTAATGAATAGCTTTGATATAAAAAAAATTGGAAACATTTTTTGAGAGGTACTAGCAAAAAGCTGTATGATTCTGATTTTTAATTGCTGAATTGTTATGCCTGGGACCTCAAATCTTAATTATAATCATGCAGCTGCTTAATTTTGTAAACTAAGTATGTTCACACCAGTTTCCTTTACTGTATCTGAAGCTCAAGACTGCGAAAGTTGCAGTTAGAATGGGAGATGTCTCCTCTATTTTTCAGGCTGCCATCAGCATTTTGGGGGCAGAGGGATAGTACTCATGTGTTTCACTTCAGCCCCTGGGTAATATCTTAAGTCCTTTTTGTCAAAACGATAAGTGGTCCAAGAAAGACCTACCTTCAAACTGTGGTGATATAGTACTTCTTGAGACAAATATGTAGGTAAAGCTCGTATACCAAGACTTGCTGTGTACCTAATCCTACCTAGCGGGTGTCAGAACTATAGAAGTCACCACTGCTGGCAGTGTACATACACTTATATTTATTTCCCTATGCACCATTTTTTTTGTCATCCTGGCAATACCAAGCATAATTATTTTCTTAATAATCTTTTTTCTTCCTTGCTGTATTTACTCACTTAAGGGAATCAAGCGAACTATTTCTATAAAACATTACACGATTTAGAAAACAAATTATGTGGAACAGCTCTTAGTTTAGAGAGCATAAAACATATCAGTTGTTAACATTTCTTCTTCCATTTCTTGAAATATATTGTACTGTATCAACATGTCAACACCTAGAACTATCTTTACTGCTAAATACTTTAATTGAGCATACTGGAGATGAAGGCCAGGAATATTTTGTCATTTATTATGTTGTTTCCCTGAAGAACACAGTGTGTGTTTTTAAAATGTGCTTTTGCATGAGCGTTCTTCCTTCTAACTGAAATTTATGAGGTAAATCCTACAGGCTGTGACAGGAAAAAGAAAATTAGAAAATAGAGCAAATTATGCACATAGGTGAGCTACAGAAGGCCAGGGCAAGCTTGTGAGTCTTGTCTTTTGTGTAGCTGGACTGCTTCTGCGACCCAAATTATCTTAAGTACTTTCACATTCAAGTACAATTTGAGGCTCAGACATAGTGAAACGAAGCAATTTTTCTCTCTCAGATTAGTGTCTGCAGAAAAGATTGGAGCTGTCTATTACATAGGTATTATGGACAAAAAATTGCTCTAATCCCAAATTAACATATATTAAATAGAGCTTTATTCACTAGGCATGAATAGCTTTGACTATTTTAGCCAGCTATCTCAAATCACAGCTACATACAAAACCTGTCATCAAAGACAGTGCTGAAGAGGACTTCAAGAAGACTTTTGTTTAGGCCAGGGATCCCTGGCCTTTGTGAAGAAAGCGTCCCCTGTCAGTTCTTTCTCCTCTTTTTTGCCCTGCTGATGGGCATCTCATCTGACTGCTACTGCCACTGAAAAAATAACACTAAGATACAGAGCGCATACTGAGCCTTCCAATGTCTCATAGGTTGTTTTCTGTGTTACACCACACTTTGTTATGGCTGTGCCTCACCAGTTCAGAATAAGTAATCCAGTCTATCTTCTGACTATATACTTATCCTATGTCAACATGCATATACACATGATCCTACTATTATTTTGGGATTTCTTTTTAAATGGTTTCAAGAATAATATTGAGATAAAATATAATTAGTCAGTGCACTTTTTTGACAACTGTTTTTCAGTTAAAAATGGTTTTCCCTAGTCTTGACTTCAGCTTCCCTGAAGAGGCTTTTCTTGAGAAATTTGCATTTCCTTCATTGAAGCACTGTTGCTACTGACTTACTACATTTCTTCTTTTAAGCAAAGTAGAAAACTTCTCTCCATTCTGTTAGGTTACTATCTTACCTTCAGATGTCCTTAAACACTGAGATGTGCATTAAGGAAGATATGAAGTCTTATGGCTTAAAATAGAGAACAGGTTGTATGATCAAGCTTTATTTCTAAAGTTATCTCTGTGGAAAAGCTGCTTTAATTTGTTTGGGTGTTTTCTTCAAAGTTGTGTCATACCAACAAGCTACCTGGCATCAACCTAACCTGACCATCTGCTATCCTTATAGGTAGCTTGGATAAAGATCCTAGAAGAGCTCAAAGTTGCCTTTGAGAAACATGTTTTCCTTTCAGTATAACAGGTTTAGACCACAGCTGGTTATTTTTAAAGGGAGGCTGATGGGCTTGTGCAGGCAATTCTTTTAGATTGCAATTTTTCTTTTCTTTTTTTTTAGCATGGTGTAGTACCTGACAATTACCACTGTTACAGTCTGTCTTGATAAAGGTGCCACTACAGTTTCCGACTTTGGAATAAGGAAAGCCTCAGTGGTATAGAGGAAAAAATCATCGTTACTGATTTGCTTTTCTGTGACGCTAATGAAATCTGTATGCTACCGTGTCATTTAAGGGCAAAAGGCTACAGTGAAAATGAAGTAGTCGTATTGAAGTCTGTGACATTGTTTCAAGACCAGGTTGGAAAATTCCAAAACATCTCTGATTTAAGAACTAACATTCAATACTAAGTTGGCTTTAACTGGGACAATAGACGGATTACATTTTGGGATCATGTACTCTGACATGTTTGATCTTGTATCAGATGTTAGGTTTTGTCTTGAAAGACTGCTCTGTTCATCCCCAGAGCAAGTTCTGGTTCTTAGTATGGATATCTACAAAAAAAAAAAAAGTAAATATATA